CGGAGCTTGCTCAAACTCATGGCCATTGAGTCGGTGATGCCATCCAACCATGTCATCCTCTGTTGTCCTTTTCTCCTCCTGCCTTCAATCTTTCCCAACATCAGGGTCTTTTCCAATGAGTCAGTTCTTTGAATCAGGTGGCCAAAGTATTGGAGCTTCAGATTCAGCATCAGTCCTTCCAATGAATATTCAGGAATGATTTCCTTTAGGATGGACTGGTTGGATCTCCTTGCTGTCCAAGGGACTCTCAAGAGTCTTCTCCAACACCACAGTTTAAAAGCATCAATTCTTCAGCATTCAGCTTTCTTTATGGTCCAACTCTCACATCCATATATGACTATTGGAAAAACCATAGCTTTGACTAGACGGACCTTTGTCAGTGAAGTAATGTCTCTGCTTTTTAATATACTGTCTAGGTTTGTCATGGCTTTTCTTCCAATGGAAACAGTGATAGAATTAGAACCTTACATGGAACAACAAACAGTTTCAAAACTGGGAAAGGAGTACATCAAAGCTGTATATTGTCATCCTGTTTATCTAACTTATATGCAGAATACATCATGTGAAATGCTGAACTGGATAAATCACAAGCTGGAATCAAAAATGCCAGAAGAAATATCAACAACTTCAGATATGCACATGATACCACACTAATGGCAAATAGAAGGAGGAAAAAAATGCAAGCAGTGACATTTTATTTTCTTGGGCTTCAAAATCACGGCAGACAGTGACGGCAGCCACGAAATTAAAAGACACTTGTTCCTTGGAAGAAAAGCTATCACAAACCTAGATAGCATATTAAAAAGCAGAGACATCACTTTGCTGACAAAGGTCCAGATAGTCAAAACTATGGTATTCCAGTAGTCATGTACAGATGTGAGAGCTGGACCATAAAGAAGACTGAGTGCCAAAGAATTGATGCTTTCTAACTGCAATGCTGGAAAAGACTCCTGCGAGTCCCTTGGACAGCAAGGAGATCAAACCAGTCAATCCTAAAGGAAATCAACCCTGAATATTCATTGGAAGGACTGATGCTAAAGCTGAAGCTCCAATACTCTGGCCACCTGATGCAAAGAGCTGACTCACTGGAAAAGACCCTGATGCTGGGAAAGACCGAGGGCAAGAGGAGAGGGGGACCGCAGAGCACGAGATGGCAGGATTGCAGCACTGACTCAATGGACACGAGTTTGAGCAAACCCCAGGAAACAGTGATGGACAGGGAAGCCTGGCATGCTGAAGTTCATGGGACAGCAGAGTCGGACACAACTTAGCAACAACAATGTGGCTCAGTGGTAAAGAATCCACCCACCCAAGCAGGAGACACGGGTTCGATCCTTGGGTCGGGAAGATACCCTGAAGAAGGAAATGGCAACCCACTCCATTATTCTTGCCTGGGATATCCCACAGACAGAAGATCCTGGCAGGCTACAATCCATGGGGTCACAAAGAGTTGGACACGACTTAGTAGCTGAGCACATACACACATGCACACACAACATTTAAATTATTTTATTAAATAAGACTGACAGTATTATAAAGTATAAGACATTCCACTAACTACACAATTAAAATACTAATTCTGATACTTTAGCTTCTCCCTAATTTAGCAATATCTAATAGTTACATGTTGACTATATTGATTTTATTTTCTTATAGTAAACTCTATAAATAATCACCTTTCAAGCTCTTTCAAACAGAAGTAAATAAGAAGTATATTTTCCACTTCCAGGGTAACACTGATTTACCAGGACTCATGGGGTTGAATTACAGCTGTGACTTACACATTATACCATTTAATCCTTGCTATAATCCTATAAGGTGGGCATTATCAGATTCATTTTCTAGGAGAATAAATTGAGGCTTATAAGAGGTAAGAACCTTGTCCACGGTTAATGGGTTATAAGAAAAGACTGAACCCCATATCTGACATGCTACAAGAATCTAGTTCTAATCTACAGCAGTATGTAAGGAAAAGTCTATGTTTTGAAGATTCATCAATAAACTGATGCTGCTTTTTGAAAACTAAGAACTATTTCTATTCAGTAACTGCAACTATGTACCTCTCACTGATTATTATATACTAAGAATATTGTTCTATACAATGTAAGTAAAACCAAAGATCATGCAAAACTCTGAAAATGAATAACTGAAAATCAACAAAATTCTGAAAATGTAACATGTATATATTTTCACAGAAAATGGCTAATTTTTAGCTAAACACAGGGAATAGTTAATTTGTTAGCTAAAAATGAAATGGAAAATATGTTTAGTAGTTAATATCAAAATAGTTTTCCATCAAAAAAAAATTTGCTTTTAAAGTCCAAAAGTAAACTCATTCTCTAAAAAATTAAAGCTACAAAGTTTTAAGGCACACAGAAATTCCAATGCCTGGTTTTATTCTCATTTTCCCCAAAATAAGGAAAGGAAGTAAATATTTATTGAGCACCTTCTATGTGACAGACACTGAACTAACTGCTTTTGATCACTTTTATCCCACGGAATGCCTGAGTACTAAGGGGTACTGTTACTCCAGCATCACATAAGAAAAAACTCAGGATCTCAATGTCACATTGCTCTAGGGTGTAGTAACACTGCAGAAAGGGTTCCTACCCACATCTGACTCCATGCTCTGCACCACATCATACAATTAACAACCAGAAAACACACCATTTATGAACATGAAAATTTAAGTTAAAATTCAAGCCGTTATCTTTTAAATAAGCTTTGTGCCTGTGCCACTAGTCTGCGGCCAGTACAAAAAAAGTGCCAAACAGAAGTTTATTGAATGGAATGTAACAGAGGAAGAAATGGGATCAACTCCACTCACATCTTCTTTTTAATTTTTCTTTTTGAAGAAGGAAATGGCAACCCACTTGAATATTGCTGCCTGGAGAACTCCATGGACAAAGGAACCTGGCAGGCTACAGTCTATGAGGTTGGAAAGAGTCAGACACAACTGAGCGACTATCACTCACTCACTCATAAACACACCAAAGAATCATGTAATATATATTCCCTGACTCTTGAGCCTCCCCCACACACACACCATCTTTCTAAAGGAGCTAATGTAAAACTATTGCTCACAAGTAACATATATGATTCTTTCCTTAAAAAATAAAACACTGAATCAGGAAACAGAAGAAGGAATGAACATATATAAAAATTATTAATATCTGTAAAGGGCAAGCTACTGGATTAAACACAGAAGCTTGAAAGAGAGATCCAGCATGTTCCCCTCGATTACACTTGTCTGGTTCTGCCTTACAACATTTAATTAAACATGTCCTGCTTCCACAATTACCTAGTTGCTCACAGAGACCTTGGTCATTTCCTGTTTCTTAGAACACCAAAGACAGGACCTCACACTTAATATTGGTAGCTAAAATTTTATAAAGATCTTTACACATTACAAAACTTTTCCAAACACATTTACCCTAAAAGCCTTGCATAAGTATAATAACTATCTGTATTTTACAATGACATTGAAATCCAAGATTAAGAGCCAAGGTAAGTAGGCAGGTATCCTTCTGTAACACCACAGCTAACAGAAAAGGCTCTCAAAAATGTGTTTGATTGAATCAGCTCTCCCTCAAAATATTATTTTTCTAAGAGTATAACACCACATCGTGTATGAGATAATGAATGATCTGTTGCTATGAGAAATGACTGTACTGCCACTTAAGACTTATAGACTTGCTAGAAAACAGATACCTTCATTCAGCTTGACAAGGTTAATTAATTTTACCAGTGATACTTAAACTTTAGAAGGACTAAGAACTGGCTAGCTTGATAAAAATTAAGCTCTTGGATCATCACCATCTCTAAAAATTCTGATTCAAGGGGCCAGCAATCTGCATATTTTAATAAGCACTCTTAGCTGTTTATAATGTTGGTAGTCTTTAGAGACACATTAAGAAATGAATTAGATTTGTTTAAACTTAATCTACCTCCCCAAAATGTTTTAATGAAGGCCATTTTTTTACAGCTATATTTAAGCAAAAATCTTCCAAAAACAATACTAGACTATGGCATCTAATAGGATAGGTCCCCCAAAAGCATTTAACACACAAAACCTCCTTCCACCTGGAGCTTCACACACTGCACAGGAGGTAAATTAGGGGTCTTTTAGGTAGTTACCTATGTTAAATTCTGTTTTAATTGAGGAAATCAACTATGACTGCAATGTAATTTAGTAAAACATTTTTATAGGTCTAATACAAATGGCTGGCAACAGTAAAATGGAACGGTTAACTCTGAACCTAACACAGAAATAATCACTCGAAAATCACCAATAATACAAGCCCATTTTTAAACTTTAAATGACCATCAAAATGTTCTGTCAGATTATGGATGAATTTTCCCCCATTATAAAATAATTACTGAGGGTTGGCACACACCTCTGTGTACTTTCTGAATTTTCTACAATAAGCATATTTTTTTCAGGACTATAAGTTTTATAAGCACTTAATTCTACAACCTTCACATGCATAATAGAAAACAATAATCCGAACCACGTTTATCATTAACTATAAATACTCAAATACCTGACTAAGGTATCAAATCATGATCACTAACTTTTCTTTTTACATTAATACTAGGACAAATCACTTACCTACTAAAATTTAGAATATGTCCTATTTCTATCAGCTATCTGTTATTAGGATAGTTAGCATGACTTTAAAATCCTCTTGTCATTCATCCTATGGATCTATTTAGGGAAACAATTTTGTAACGAAGACTGAGGCATTAAAATATTTACACTCTCTTATGACAGGGGTGGGGATGGGGGGCCAGACCTTTGTTAAAAAAGAAAAAAAAATGATGTTTTTCTAATTGTAAGTATTTATCTAGGAAACTTAACATCGCAAAGCTGGAATGGGGCTTTCTCCAAGGCAGACCACGCTCAAGAGCAAAATGTAACAGAAGAAGGCAGAGATGAGCTCCCGGTAGGTGATGAAATTTCACCTCAAATAAGACGCAAACGGTTGTTTTCAGCCCAGTCAGGTGGGGGAATGACACTCCAGGAGTTCCAAGGGCTTTCGCGGCCCCGCACTTTCGGCGCGGGCTCCCTCACCGTGCCCTCCCGCCCCTCCCCCCGGGACTCTGCGGGACTCAGCACCGGGCGCGGAGAAGCCCAGGCTGTTCGCAAACAGGCGTCCTCTGCCTCCCTCCGGGATGTACGTGCGGGGCCCTGGGTAAGAGGCTGCGCTTTCCCCGGCCCGCGGCCAATCCAAAGGTTGCCAGCGACCCTGCCAGCCCCCGGCTCCACACACCCGGCCGCCCCGCTGCCCAGGCCGGAGCGAGGGCTTCCCGGCGTCGCGGGGCCTAGTCGCCCCCCACGCGCCTCCAGCTTCTCGGGGGACGCGAGGAGGAAGGGCTGAGCCGCCCGCCCCCCACCAGCCGCGGGGTGGGGAGGCGGCCGCCGCGACAGGACGCCCCGTCCGCCCGGCCCGAGGACTTGCCGCCAGGGCCCTCCTGGGCGGCCGAAGGCCAGCGAGCCCGGGACCGCGCCGCACCACACTCACCTCGAGCAGCGGCCGCTGCCGCCTCAGCATGGCCGGGGGGGTAGTCCCTGAGCCGACAGCCTCCTCCGGAGGGCACCGGCCCGGCCCCAGGCGCCGCCGCGAAGCCTCCCACTCCTACAGGGGCTGCGGTCACCGCTGTTGCTGAGGCCCGGCGCCCGCCAGACCGCATCGGGCTCCCCGGCCGCCGCAGCCACGCGGATCCCGCAGGAGCGCCGCCGAGCCGGGCCGGGGGCGCAAGGCTGCGGCGGGACGACCGAGGTGCTGCAGGCGGGGATCCTCCGCGAAGCCTCCAGCGTCGCCGTGGCCGCTCCTGCCGCCGGCGCCGCTGGGCCACAGCGCCCCCTGGACCCCACGCCCGGCTACGGCGCCGGGACTGCGGCGGCCGCCCGGGCACGAGCGGTAGGGAACGCGAGGGAGCGCGGCCTGAGGTTGGCGGGGGCCGGGTGCTCCCTGCGCCGCCCTCGGGTCCCCGGCCCGCCCCCGAAGACGCCTCCCGGGACCCGGAAGCCCCTCGGTCCCCACCGAGCTTGATGCGTCCCCTCCCCACTTCCCAATCTTCAGGCCCTGAGCATCTTTGCACCTTTTCCTTCTCTCCAGAAGGTACGTGAACAATCCTGGCACTCGGACCTTCACCTGAGAGCGGGAATGTGAGGCGGTCTTCTCGTTTTCATCTCTCGTGATTCAAGGGCGATCCCTCCTAATCCCTTCAGTGTGTCTGGATATAAGAAGTGACCCAGAATCAACCTCACTCCCCCCACCCCCACCCCACCCCCACCCAGTCCTCTCCCAAAACAGACGAAGGAATTGTCTTTGACCTTAATTTATTTTGGATCTAGGGGCAGATCATCTGAGGAATTTCCTTCAGATTCCAAACCCTTAAACCCAACCTCCCCCACAATAGAAAACAATAATATCCAGAGCAAGAGAAGAGTTAACCACTGAGTTGTCCGGAAATTCATAAGTAACTTAAAGGTAAGAGAAGAATTATCCATCTATTCTAACTAACCTACTCCCCCGCCTCCGTCTCTACTCTTCCTCCCACAACCCCTGCCAAATCCCAGGTGAAGTTTTGTGGGAAGGAAATTGTTACATAGCCGGGACTGTGGAAGGGCTGTGGAATTGTTCTGTTTGCAGACACCTCACATTCGATCCCACTCAAAGTCTAGGGTGCAAACATCAGAACCAAAAACAAAACAAACGAAAAAACTATCAGAGGGAAAATAGGGAAACTGAGAAATTCTTTAAATCCTCTGGTCCCCAGTTTTTCCAAATAGATCATTTTGTCATAAAGTGGTATAGTGGAACAAGTAGGGACTTTGATGGCAGACAGGTCCTGATCCTGCCCATTGCAGTTCTGTCACTTGTAACTTTATTACCCTGGACGAATTATATAATGTTTCAGAAACTTGGTTTTCTGATGCCTACCTTGCTGGTTGTTGTGAAGATTAGACAGAATTTATGTGCAGGAACTAGCCCATGAAAGATACTCAATAAATGTTAGTTCCTACTATGATTGGTTCCAAAACACCTTTCTTGGGTGTATTAAAAAAAAAAGGTGCAACATTCTTGGACTGGGTAAAATCTCCCTAAATTTCACTGTTGAATTTATATAACATCCCTCCACAGAAGGCTAATAAAGCCAGTATACTGGATCCTATGATGTTCTGTTGCATGGCAGATATCAGCATAAAACCAGTATATTTTTCTGTATGAAAAAAGAATTATAAGGCAATCTCACCTTACCTTAGGTTATGTCCTAAGAATAATAAATCTTAATGAGAAAATTATATAAGGTCTCTGGGAACTTTCAAATAATAATTGAGCAGCCACCTCAGAGAAAATATAACCTAACAGCTCTCTTTCAATCAATGAAAGCTGTTCCAGCATGTGCCTTTGCCACCTACTTCTGAGTCACATTGCAAAAAAGTCACTATCCCCTTTTTATAACAAGAGAAACTGGGGCTCAGAAGGAAAGTGTGATTCATTCTCACAGCAGCTCTATGAATTAAGTACTACACTACCACCATTTTACATGTGAAATACATCCAGTGTAAGGAAAAGTTGGAAGTAGACCCCGAAATTCCTTCTTCAAGTATCATCTGATGCTCTAACAGTCTTTTCTGCAATATTCTGAAAATGCTGTAAGGCTACGACAGTTGCTAAAACTTTTCAATCTAGAGAAACGGGCTCTTTAATTAAGATTAGTTTGGCAACCTAACATTAGCACTGTGCTTTTCAAGCCTAGTTCACTACCACCAGCAGGAAATCTGCATTTGTTTATGAATAATCATGCTACACAGGGTGTAGCTACTACGTGAAGATGATTCATTTGTTCCCAGGACCAATTTCCTCTTGCTTCACACTTTCTCCCCTTCTATTCAAATTATGTTGCTCAAAGAGGCTGCCTTGATCGTCACTACCATTTCTCTGATTATAGTAGTCCATTTTAAATCCTTTCATCTACACTTTTATTCCATGGTTTCAATGCTTCCTACCCAATCTGCTCTCTGCTTCTGAAATGTCTTTCATCTGTTCTCTTCTCCTCTACTGTAAATCTCTTTCATTTTAATCTACATTGACCTGCTGTCAATTGATTTGGTTACCCTACCCTCAGTTTTTTCATTGATTCCCACTCCTATCCAATGACAGTAAAATACCTCCTTATTCCCAGCCTGGTAAACACACTTTTGCTTTTATACCACATACATCCTATAGAAAGCCCACATTTCTAAGAATGGTTTCTTCAAGTGAGTTTAAAGTATAGCGCCCCAAACAAAATTTTCTTTGCTCCTTAAAATTTGTTCTTTAAAATTCAGTCCTTTTATTTGTCAATTATAGGCTGAGAAAAGAAAATTCAGAACAAAAAGATATTCATTTTCTGGCTTGGTGAATGGCATAGGAATCGTCATTAACTTTTGTGTCTCTGTCCTGGACAATTGGTCACTACACCTGATAAATTATGCTTCTTTTTCTTTTTAACTTTAATTTTTTCACCATGTGGCATGAGGAATCTTCGTTCCCTGAGCAAGGATCAAACCCACACCCTCTGCACTGAACCACGGGGGACGTCCCTCTATCTGTTACTTAATCATTGACTTTCTCTCCTTCTCTCCAGTTCCGCTTCTGTAGATGCACTGAATACAAAGAAAGAAGGGAAGGAAGAAGGAGGAATTAATATTATATTTGTGTACAGGAGTATTACTGTATAAATGTTTGTTTAAAGAGCACAAAATCTCTTCCATGTTTTTGATAATCGTTGTGCTTTGCAATTTATAAGTACGCATTACTACACTGTCAATATCTGTTTGCTTGTATGTTTTCCCTATCAGATTGTGAATGTTTCATTCATTTCTGTGTTCCCACAACCAGTCAGCACAGAGTACATCTCAGGGGATATTGTTCTGTCCAGTCATGTCTGACTCTGTGATCCCAAGAACTGCAGCATACCAGGCTTCTCTGTCCAGGGTTCAACCCAAAATTCAGCGTTACTTGTTACCAAACAGGAGAGCCCTAGAAGAAACCAGAAGTCAGGTCAGTAAAGCAACACAAAAGAGAAAATTGGGAACATTTGGGTTATGTCACTTGAGTCATTTCAAAAGGAGCAAAGCAGTTCCCACTTTCCGAATAAGTACGTTAAGGAAGTAATCAAATTGAAAAAAAAAAAAAAGGAAGTAATCAAATATGTGAAGAAAGATATGTGCAAAAAGATATTTATTATAGATTTTACTGTAGGTTTATGACACAAAAATGTAAGGAAAACCTTAAATGAATTACAGTATCTCAATACAAATATGCATCTACTAATTGCATTTTTGAAGAGTTTTAAAAGACATTTAATACTGCTTATGATTCAATATCAAATAAAGTGTTAAAAAATGACCATTGATGATGCCAATCATTTTTCTATATATTTCTGAAACATATAATATTTAGAAGAAGTAATACAAAATGTATGTTTGTGAGTTTTTTTAACTTTTTGTTTTGAAATAATTTTATGTTTAAAGAAAAGTTGCAAAAATACTACCAAAAAAGATCCCATATATCTTTCACCCTTGTGCTGTGCTATGCTTTGTTGGTCAGTCTTGTCCGACTCTTTGCGACAAAGAGTCTTTGCGACTCTTTTCCGACTCTGTACCCCGCCAGGCTCCTCTGTCCATGGGGATACTCCAGGCAAGAATACTGGAGTGGGTTGCCATGCCCTCCTTCAGGGGGTCTTCCCAACCCAGGAATCGAACCCGGGTCTCTTATGGCTCCTTCATTAGCAGGCAGGTTCTTTACCACTAAGGCCATCTGGGAAGCCCTAGTAGCATACGGGGTCTTTTAGGGGCAGCATGTGGGATCTAATTTCCTAACCAGGTATTGAACCCTGGCCCCCTGCATTGGGAGCATGTAATCTTAACCACTGAACCACAAGTCCCTGCCTTGGGTTTTGGTTCTATATATTTTATTGTGCATGTGTTCTAAGCTGATTTAGTCGTGTCTGGCTCTTTGCTACCCTATGGACTGTGGCCTGCCAGGCTTCTCTCTCCATGGGATTCTCCAGGCAAGAATACTGGAGTGGGTTGCTATGCCTTCCGCCAGGGTATCTTCTCAATCCAGGGATCAAACCCAGGACTCCTATTCTCATATTAGAAAGATGGATATAAATATATTTAAGTATTATAATTATTTTCTGATCCATTTATTCCTAAATATTTTAAGTGTATTTCCCCAAAATAGTACAGATATCACAATACAATTATCAAAATCAGAAAATATTGATACAACACTGTGACTTAATCTATGACTCTATTCAAATTTTGCCAGTTGTCCCACTAGTATTCTTTATAGAAAAATAAAATAATTTTTTTCTGGCCCAGGATTCAGTACAGGATCACATGTTATAATTAGTGTCAAATTTTTTTAAATATTCTTTCATCTGGAACTATTTATCAGTCTTTGTTTTTTATGACCTTGACATTTTTACAGAATATATGCCATTTATTTTGTAAAGTATCCCTCAATTTTAGCTTGCTATTTCTTCTTGATTA